GATCAGCTGCCTCCTGCACACCCCCCACTGGGGATGTGCCCGCAACCAAGGTACATGCCCTTGACCGGAATCGAACCTGGGACCCCTCAGTCCCCAGGCTGACGCTCTATCCACCGAGCCAAACCAGCCAGGGCTGTCTGCACACAATTTTTCTTTGACCTCTCTGAGCCTCCAAATCCCCATCTGAAAATAGGAATGATACCTACTTCACAGGATTGTGCAAAGGATGAAATAAGATTGTGTGAAAAAAGCTTTTAAAATGTAGGAATACTATTTCTCAAGATTATTTATATTGTTTCCTGTAGTTATAGCTGGTTGAACTGGAGTACATACTGGAATCTGAGAGAGTAAAGAAAAATCATGATGTTATAACTTGCCATAACCCAAATGCTACAGTGGCCTAAGAGTGGATGGTAGAGAAAAACACCTGTGACTGTGTGCAGAGGGCAGCAGGAGCTTATGGAATGGGGGAAAAGAGGAGTTTGTTCAAGAGAGATAGCTTTATGAGGACAAGACCAAAATGTGAAGTGCTGAGATGGAAAAGGAGGACTTGGAAGAACCAAGGAAGATCGGGCCATTATTTGTAATTTAGAATATTCAATCAATCATATTTTGGGAGCATCTACTTTGTGCCACGCACTGTTCCAGAGGCTCATTTAAGGCTGACACGTGGATCAAAATGCCTGTCCTGACCAAGCTCCTTTTCATAGAATCTGCTCCTGCCCACAGCCACCATGACTCCACCATCAACACCTCGCCACCACCCTGAGACCTGATTGGATCAAAGGTGAGCATCAAGCCCAAGCTGGGCCAATCACATCCCCTTCCCAGATAACTGAAATAAGACTTCATGAAACTGAGGCAGGTGGGAACCATACAGGAGAGAAGCAGAATTTTATTACACTCGTCTGTATTTTATGGGAAATACACTACCACCATAGCTGTGGCTTGTGTATGGTAGAACCTAGACTAAAGAGCATGAACTTCTGTCACTCAAAGCCATGGATCTATCTGGTCCCTGCACTCTGTGAAGCCTGACACTTCAGCTTTCCCTTGGGTCCTGTGATACCTGAGTCTTAAAACATCTTTTGACTTGAGCTGGCTTGGGTCACGTAGGGATTGAATAGTTCCATCTTTCATGTTCACTCAGAACCTTAGAATGTGACCTTACTTGCAAATAGGGTCTTTGCAAATGTAATTAATTAAGAGGTTATTCTGGATGAGGATGGATCCTAAATCTAATTACTAATACTAGTGTCCCTAAAAGAAGAGGAGAGATACAGAGAGACACACAGGGAGAAGACAGCCACGTGGAGATGCAGGCAGAGATTGGAGTTCTACTGCCTGGCCCACCAGAAGCTAGGAGAGGCCAGGAAGGATTCCCCAGTAGAGCTTTCAGGGGGAGCCTGGCCCTTGAAATCACGGTCAACACCTTTATTTCAGACTTCTGGTTTCCAGAACTGTGAGAAAATAAATTTCTCTTGTTTTAAGGCATCTGGTTTGTGTTACTTTGTTGCAGCAGCTCTAAGAAATTAATACAGGATGGTTTCCATTTCTTGCAAGCAAGCATTTATGACTAAGATGTATTCATGATGATAGATTATATTTGAAAAGTCTAGACCAGTGACTCTTCCAACGTTGTTTCCCGTCCACTGTTGGAACTCAAGGATCTTCCAGATGGGCCATTAAATGACATCAACAAGCACGTCATTTCTTCAGTTGCCATGAAAAAATAACTTGCAATTTTGTAGGTTTTTATTTTTACCTATAAGTAAGGTTTCTCTATTAGAAATCTACCAAGTAAGATGTTAGGGATTTTTAATGTTTAGAATTCATAAATTAAAATTAGCACCTTATTCAAGTTTACCAAGAATGGCTGTTCATCATTTCTATGCACAACATTGCAAAGTTCCTGTCATATACACTTGAAGAGAATTGAAATTCCCACTTTGGGGAGAAGGATGTTAATTGTGATAAAATAAGTTTTTCAAAAAATTTATAAGGCTGTATTTTGGAATATATAATCATATTGATGAGATTATATCTTCCCTTAAAAGTAAATAAACAACTCCTAGCATTCTTTGCAGTTCTTTATTGTCACTGAGTTACTTTTCCTTACATGCACACAAAAAAAGGATGGGTTGGGGGGTGAAATGTATGTAGCACGGTAGGTCTTTTCTCAAAAGAGTGTGAGAACCACCCAGCTGGTGTGGCTCAGTTGAGCGTCAACCCATGAACCAGGAGGTCACGGTTTGATTTCTGGTCAGGGCACAGGCACGAGTTACAGGCTCCATCCCCAGTAGGGAGCATGCAGGAGGCAGCCGATTGATGAAGTTTTCCTCAATGTTTCTGTCTCTCTATCGCTCTCTCTTCCTCTATCTCTTAAAAAAATCAATAAAAACATATATATGAATTATATTTGAACTTGGAACGCAGACCGACCCTCCCCAAGAGGCCACTACGCTTTATGTTTCTTGAAACACTCAGTAGATTACAAAGGAAAGAAGGAAGTACCCAAATGAGATTTAAAATTGGTGTACATTTTAAATGCTTAGATGACACATTCAATGCAACATAATGTAATCATACCATTCATAAAAATATCACAGGATTTATTTAAAATGCTAATGGATTTGAATACTTAGGTGGCATACTCCAGGCATGAGATACATGTTAAAAGTGGTTTGATGTTCTTTGTCTTAGATCAGGTTCTTAGAAGTGAACTTTAGGATGAAAATTTGAGCACAAATGATTGACTGAGGAAGGACTTCCCAGAGAAAGCTGTCAGGGAGTGAGGACGATCAGGGAAAGGGAAGAGGCGGTGCCGGTGCCGGGCTGTGCTTTGGGAGAAGTGCCCGCCCCAGCCCGATTCACTGGGAGCTCCGGAGTATAATTGGGAGGGGGGAGCCGAAGAGGGAGCCGAGCCTTCCCACTTCTGCAGCAGTGATGGTGGCAGGGAAGGGGAGAAGGAAACACAGGCGCTTCTGGCTATTGGTGACTCAAAGCAACTCCCTAGCCTGAGGCAGTCCTCAGAAAGAAGAGTCACAGTGCAGGTAGTTAAGAGCAAAACACATAGAAGCCAGCAGTGTGAGCATGCAGATATGATTCAAGGATCCAACCGGGTCTGGGCGGAGCTGATGGTATCTCCTGCAACATCTGTTTGCCATCTTTTGATCTTGTCTGCATATATTCCTTTTTTTTTTTCTGAGTAGTAAGTACTCCATGATATAGATGTACCATTTATTTAGCCATTCACCTGGGAACATCTGGGTAGTTAAAAACAAAGCTACCATGAACATTCCTGTACAAGTGTTTCTGTGAACACAGGTTTCCACTTCTCTGTGGTCAATACCCAGGAATGCAATTACTCGGATGAATATTAGATGCATGTTTAGTTTTGTAATAAACTACCAAATTGCTTTCCAGAGTGGCTGCACTATTTTACATTCTCACCCGGAATGTATTTGTGACCCACTTTCTTCTCATCCTAGCAGCATTTAGTGTCATTGCTGTTTTTCGTTTTACCCATTCTGATAGGTATGTGGTAATATCTCCTTGTGATTTTAATTTGCAATTACCCTACGAGCTAATGGTGTTGAACCTATTTTCATGTGCTTATTTGCCATCCCTATATCATCAGGGATATGCCTGGGTTTTTTGCCCATTTTCTAATTAGATTTTTTACTGTTTAAAGAATTTTTTTATATATTCTAAATATTAGCCCTTTTTCAGATATGTGGTTAGACAGTATTTTATTCCAGTCTATTGCTTATCTTTCATCTTCTTAACATTCTTTCACAGAGAAAAAATTTATATTTTTTAAATATAGCAGGCTAATTTTTAAAAAATATTTTTATTAATTTCAGAGAGGGAGGGACAGGGAGGGATAGAAACATCAATGATGAGAGGGAATCATTGATCAGCTGCCTCCTGCCTGCCCCACACTGGGGAGCAAGCTCACAACCCTGGCATGTGCCCTGACCAGGAATCAAAACAAACCCTGACCTCCTGGTTCACAGATGCTCAACCACTGAGGCACAGCAGTCAGGCCAATTTGTATTTGTATTTGTATTTTCAATGAAGTGTAATACACTAGGTTTTTCTTTCTCTTTATTTCTTTTTTACCAGTGTGTTTTTTAATGGATCGTGTCAAGTGCAAGAACTCTTTGCCTAGCCTTATATCCTGAAGATTTGCCCTTATTTTTTCTTTCATAAAAGTTTTACATTCATGCTCATAATGCATTGAGTTAATGTTTATGTAAAATGTGAGGTTCATTCTTTTGCCTCCAGAGGTCCGATTGCTCCAACACCATTTGTGGAATGGTGCTTTTGAGGCCACCAAGACTGGTTGAGTCCCTCCACGGTAGCCACAGCTCCTAAAAAGCAGCCTTCCCACAGCTCTCTCACCTTCTGCTACTGTCCCCTCCCTCCCCCTTCCCTGGCCCCAACGCTGTGTCCTCCCCTTTGGTTTCTCACACTCTGCCCACACCTTTGTAAAACGGAGTCCCTTTAATTAACATCTCAAATTACCCACTTTAGGCAAGCCATCTGTTTCCTGTCGGGGCTCTGACACAGCCCGCAATGACACATTTTCCAAATCCCAAACATCAGACATATACTGTCGATAGTCACAAAGTAATAATCATTTATTTTTCTGAAAAGTCATTTACAGGTATTTATAGTCAAATGGACTTCCACTTTAAGACAGATGAACATGAGAGTGTGTCAGTAAACGAGCATGCAATCAAACATTCTCTTTGCTGTTTCTTCCTGTTTTCACAGAGTCTGTGGTGTTTGTAAGTATGGTATTAGCTCATCCAACTAAGATACCATCACAGTCAAATATTGATTTTCCATGTGCACTGCTCACATCCTTTATACTCTGCAGTTTTTGGACCAGGAACTCTTTCTTGCTACCCAGAGAACACTGCTCTGCAGACTGACACCACAGCCCTTCTCTGTCTCTGATAAAGGTGATTAGATCACCCATAAATCTCTATGATCTATTCTATACCCTCCTGAACCCCTTCCTTTATGAGGACAGATAATCAAGAACTAAGAAGTATGCAAAATTGATGAAAAATACATTCTTTCCTAGTTGTATAGAAGGAAACGAACCTGTCTAAGAAATTAACAGAATAAAGTAAAATGATAAACCTTTTCATAAAAATATTAGAGTTCAGTATGCTTGATTTCTGATTATTTCTATCCAAAAGAAGTTTCCCATACTTTATTTAAAACTTAGCAAATATATCGCAATTACAAATATTAAGTTGTATCTACGTAGCCAAAATGAAGTGGAGTTAAGACTATTATCCAGATAACTGAGGATGAAAAAAACACTTTATAGTAATGGCCATATGTCTACATGCAAAGGTAAGTGAAGGACTGAAGCAGTTTTCTTGCTACTCAAAATAACCAAATCCACTTCTACCATATTTACTTATGCCACAGTTTCAATGTTTTTTTACTGAAAGGCTTGGGGTGTCCACTATCTGAATGTTGATCTCAATTGTGCTATTCATTCTGAGTATAGAGACACACTAAAAGAGAATACTGAAGTTTTCACCTTAACTATACAGACTGGCGACCAACACTGACTGCCATTAAATGGAAATTTTGCTTTTTATAGACTTAGGTGAGGGCTGAAATGGACCCTAACCCAGCTCTCTCACATGAGAGACATGGAAATGGGAA